TGATGCCCATCACAAAAAAGCCCCGGTCAGGCCAAACTGGGCCGGATGGCAACCCTTGGGCCTGGAATGGGGATGTCCTTCTGGCCATGCGCCAGCAGCCCACACGTCTGGTGCCGCACTGAGCTGGGGCAACCCTGATGCAGGAGTGAGGCCACCAAATGATGCCTGTGCGGTGGGGCAGCCTCCTCTCCGAACAGCAGGGGCGGGGCCACGGCCACTACTTCTTTCGCCAGCACGGCCTCTTTCACCTCTCCCATTTTGTTTGCTGGTACACCAACATCTTCGTGGGCAGACGTTATGCATTTAATTTGGCATCTGGGCCCAAAAAGCCACCTACCTCGTTCTAGACCCCCGCTGTGAACTAATTTGGGCACGCAAACTACTTTCCTCCTTCACTTAGCTCTAAGAAGCCTCTGACCTTGGACAGCCCTCTGATGAAAGACTAGCATGAGATGTCCACCATTCATTTCTGCACGCCACTGGATTGAAGTAGGAAAGACTATGGAATCACCACGACACACACACCCAACCTCCCTCCCTCCCTCCCTCCCTCCCTCCCTCTGGTTGCAGTGGAAATGAAATGTCACCTGGTTTTGTCCCATGCCATGACAAGGGTACAGGATGACTCTGTGTCCTGTTACTTCATGTTCGTTAGGAGGGTTATAATCAAAGCAATAATTTACCATCCCTCTGTTTTTCAGCTAAAAGACAACAACACGCAATTAAAGGACACCAGCCCACTTTCAACTACCAGTTTAGCAGCAGATACGTAATTCAGTCAGTACAAGGCAAGCAGGACTGGAATACTTCTTTTAAAAAGCAAGCATTTTAAAACATCCTGGAACAATGAGAAAACACACTGGTTAATGGAAATGAAAGCTTACCCAATTTTGCTTCATGCCATGAAATGATAGTGAGATATAAATGAGATACTACGATCATATCCTGTCATTCCACGCCCAGCGGGAGGACCACCCTGATCTTCTGTGTGCTGTGTGCATTTCTGGTCACCCTTACATCAGCACTGTGACGTATTTGGTATTTTTTATCCCCTAAACTACGGGTGGAAGTCTGATGCGGAAGGATGGTGGTGCTCTGTGGTCTGCCCAAAGCGTCCTATCGCATGATGGTGGCTGACGTGAGGTTTGGACTGGGGCATCAGTCTCGCTCCTAAGTGCTGCAGCATCACTAGACCAAACTGTGCTGTCCTCAGAACATTCCACTAGTTTGGTTTATAGCCCACTCTGGTCACGAAAACAAAAGGTAAACAACCCCTGTTCCTCAAGAAGTCACAATGGAGCCTTCCTCAAACCACAGGCATATTCACCCAGTTCTTGCATGCCGCTTCTGGCACAGAGCCTGCCCCTTGAATTGTGCCACACCAGGGGGTCATTTCGTAGAAAAAGAGCTGCAGGAGCTCATTAGCACACAGTATGCTAATGAGCTACTGGGCTATTACCATAATAGCTCATTAGCATATGCAACGCCCCCTGACATCACCGGCAGTGATGTCAGAAGGGAAAGCAAAAGGGGGGGGGGAGGCACCTTCAAATGCCTCCCCTTCCCCGGGGGGGGTTCCTTCCCCAGCCGGCCTGCCTGCGCGCGCGCGCGCGCGGGGGAAGCGAAGAGATAAGGGGTTAAAGTTTAAACCCCTTCTCACTAGAGTTGGGCTGCAGAAGGAGGAAAGCGGGAAGGAAAGAGAGAGAGAGTAGAGAGAAGGAAAGAAGCAAGGTAAGAGGGAAAGAAAGAGAAGGAAAGAGGGAAAGAAAGAAAGAAAGAAAGAGAGAGAAGGAAAGAAGGAGGAAAAGAGAGAAAGGAAGGAAGAAAAGGGAAGGAGAAAGAAAAGGAAAGGAGGGAAAGAAAGTGGGCAAAGAGATGGAGGGGAGGCTCTCCCACCCCCACCCCCCCAATCAAGCCTCCGCCACCCCCCACGGATCCCTCATTTACCCCGGGAGGCGGCAGAGGGCCTCTTCTGGCCTCCCCAGGGCCACAGCGCTCCAGCACGGGCCCCAGGAAGGCAGTGACGGGCCTCCTTGGGGCCGCAGCACTCCGGTGCGGGGCCCGGGAAGGGGTTGACGGGCAGTAGCGCGGGGAACTGGGGGCGGGGCTTGCTGCCACCGCCATTTTGCCAGCTCCTGGGCTCCCAGGGCAGTGCTCCGATGCGCTCCGGTCCCAAAAGACCACACCTAAATACTGCCAACTCTGCCCATAATGTAACTTACTTAATTTATACCACACCTTTCTCCCCACCCTTCTCCCTGAAGCAGCTCACAGCTCTCTCTTCTCCATTTTATCCTCACAACAAGCCCTGTAAGGCAGAAGATGTGGCTGACACATGCAAAGATTGTGGAGAACAGTATCCTCTGGAGTCCCCATCTCCCCCTAGATCGCACACCCACAGAGCCAATCCAGTGCCCACGCCCTAGGCCCTGAGAGCTAAGCAGCAATGGCTTTGTCTAAAAACGACCCAACTGCACTTTCTTTCAGTAGTCTCTGCTACAATAGCTCACATCTGCTTTCTGCCTTAATTACCCCTCTCGGAGGGGGAGGGGGAGGGGGCTGGGACTTCGGCCGTCTCCTAAAGCATCCTTCTACTGACCATTCCAAAGAAGCCAGGCCTGTCCTCTGGCACATGAAGTTCTGGGTAAATATTCTCCAAGTACCACTTGAAATCCTTGCATTTGAGCCTTTGCCGGAGCACTCTTCTGTCTGTCACGTCTCCATAGGGCTCCTAAAAATGAAACCCAGAATAAAACTACAGAACAAGGAAAACAATTTTTTAAAATGTTGGTATGACACCCCCTTCATCCACCCTCCCTAAGAGGCAAAATTTTCCCTCTGTTCTTCTTTCCCTTTACTGACTGAGCCACCCTAGTAATGTGTTTTCTTCTCGCTGAAGAACTCTGATTGTCCCACCCTGTCACAGTATGATATTTTGGCTGTTGGCTCAGCTCAGGAACCTGACAGAAGGATTATGGACAAACACAAGTGGGAACCTGCAAGGACTTGCGGGAGGCATCTCACTTTCCTCTCCCCCATCATTTCCTCTCTCCCTTTCCTGAAAGCCCCCCAGAGCCTCCCCCTTTTTCCTGTTTCCTTCTCACCTTCTAGGGTTGCCAACCTGGAGATCTCCTGGAGTCACAATTGGGGGAGTGCCTCCCCTGTATCCCCCTCCTCACACTATTTCCTCTTTTATCTCCCCCTGGCAGCCCCCACATCTTCTCCCCTGTCCCTGCCTCAATCTCTCCTTCTCAGCCATTCACCAGCCTACCTTTTATCTGCGTCCCATCTTCGGCTATATCTATTGTTTATTTCATTTATACCTCACTTTTCTCCACAGTGGGGACCACAACCACTTACAGTCTTCTTCTCTCCTCTTTTTACCTGCACAGCTGAAAGTAGGTGACTGGTTTAAAATCCCCCAGTCGGCTCCTGCAACAAGATGGGGATCTCCCACACCCTGCTCTGAAGCTCTGCCAGGCCACACCGGCTTTTGTAGGGCGGCTGCTGTGGAGCTGAAGCAAGCAGCCGGGCCGAGCTGAGCCGTGCAAGCCGGGCAGGGGCGGCCACCTCCAGGGGAGGGGCCTGGAGATCTCCCGCTGTTCCAACTGATCTCCAGGCCGCAGAGGTAGGCTCCCCTGGAGGAAATGGCAGCTCTGGAGGGTGGGCGCTGTGGGCATGGCCCCCCGCTGAAGCCCCTCCCCTCCCCAGGCTTCACCCCCCCCCCAAAAAAAATCCCCTGGAGTTTCCCAGCCCAGAGCTGGCGACCCTAAAGTGGGGTAGTATCAAGTCACCTAGGGGCTGCTGTCAGCCTTAGATTTCCAGATGACAGTTAAACCTTTATTCACTATCTTGAGTTCATACGCCTCTAAACCCTTTTTCACTTCTTTAATCTCTTTCAGAGTTTGAGGGCTATAGTCTTTTTTATGTTTCTCTTCAAGTTTCTTCAGTTTGTTTTTATAATTCTTTATATCTTTCTCTTTTTTTCTTCCAGGAGCAGCAGCACTCTGAAAAAGGCTTTGTCCGCCTCCCAAATAGTTCCTGGGGAAACACTTGCATCATTAGCTGTTGTAGATTTTCCGGGTTGTCTTGGCACTGTAGGACCACAGCCACACAACCTGGAGAATCTACAACAGCTAATGAACTCCAGCCGTGAAAGCCTTCGACAACACTTGAATTGTTATTTAAAATTAAAAATTCTTATAGATCCTTCTGCATTTCCCCTCTTATTCGTAAATTGCTTATTAATTCATTGCCTATTTGCATTGGTGTCAGCCTTGTTGAAGTCTACTTTAAGAAGAATTTAGGGACCCAAAACAGCAGGTGCATGTAACTAACTCCCTTCTTAGCAATACAGCTACCAGCCAGCAAAACACCTGGCAGAGATAATAAAATTAAAAATAAGATAAAATGCTCTGGGCAGCAGAGGACAGCCACAACACTGCTCTCAGCTCAGCTGGAACCCCAGCATCTCATCTATGGACACGGAAAAAAAACTCCTGAAAAGAAAAGAAGCTTGAGCCTGTCAAGACAGCTGCCTTGAAACAAAACAAAGCCAAAATCCAAACTATTAGGTCCGAAAGAGCAGATAGCAGATAATAAAAACGAAAACTCAGCTCTTCACAGAGCACAACAGAACACCACCACCCAGCCAGAACCAGAACCAGAAGCCGATCTTATGGTGACCCCTATGAATTACTGTCCTCCAAAACATCCTCGATTGCTATTTCAAAGTTCCTCGGTTCAATTACAGGAAGTCCTCTAATGTTATCTAGAGGGACGGAGTGTTCGGGCAAGAGAGACGCCGATGTGCAGGCGTGGGGATGAGCCCAGTGTTGCTGGCTCCAGACATGGCTGGAACCGCTGCTGAGACTATGTCCTCCCCACTCCCACCTTCCACAGATCACCTCCTTAGACGGGAGCCCGTGTCTCTGGCACTTTGGTGCAGCTGAGCATCTGTGCCTGGGTGGGTGGAGCCTCTGCCTTGCTCCCACTTCCACGCTCAGGGGAAAGGGACACCAATGCGCAGGCGTGGAGATGAGCCTGGTGCTGCCAGCTCTACAGGTGGCTGAAATCGCTGCCACAAGTATGTTCTCCCCATTTCCCACGTGGGTCCTATTTTAATTGTTGCTTTTATGTCTCAGTAGTCCTGGTTTTAAAGGTTTTAATGATGTGCTGCTGCTGTTGTTTGGTTGGTTTTAAAAAGTGATTTCACTATGTTACGTCTTAATTTGTTAGCTACCTTGGAGGTCCTTGTGAGGGCAAAAGAGCAGGATATAAACGTTCTTAAATAAATAAATGAACAAATATTTATAGGATCCAAATAAAAAAAATCTCTTTATTTGAAAGAAGGCAGCCGGGCACTGGCTCTGCCTTCACGACAGCCCTGCCTATTTTTCTGGAGCACCTGGGGGAGTGCCTGCGGGCAGGGGGACCCTGATGTGGCAGCTCCTGCGAGTAGCTGCCTGGGAGCAGGGGGAAACAACAGTCCAATGTGCCCATAACACAGAGAGCGATCAAGGTTCCCAACAGCATGATGAAAACTGACGACACGTTCCTATATCAGTAACCAACAGCTGCTTGTCCTAAAAACAGGTTGTGAAAACCTTCGTAAAAAATGGGAGGGGAGTGGCTCAAAGACTGGAGAATCAAGACAACAATAGCACAGGGAACCAGGCCAATATAAATGTACAGTTCGCCATCTTTGAGGATGCTGTGCGTCAAGAATGCCTCCAGAGGACATGCTTTGCCTGCCCCACAACGAAAATCTCTAGAAGGCTGCATTGAAGTATAGCGCTGTAAACCCTCTCTACTAATTACCTTTACTGCTCAGCTGTACGAACTCTGACTGTGTTAGCGATTACCATTCCCCCTTCACACTCTCACTGATAACAAGGTCTTGCTTTTGCACTTCGATGTTGACAGCTTCAAGGACTGTCAATGCACTCTCTCCTAAAGGCAGGCTGGCATCCTGCCACCAACTTTTCTGCAGGTTTTCTGCCCTTCCTTGGAAAAGCCACACGCGGAGCTCCGCGTATAATGTTACCACTTCAACTATGCCTCTTCTTTTCCTCCCGCCCCTCGTGTTCACCACAGAAACAAAATTTAAGCACCTCATGGCATGGATCTTTTTTGTTTGTATTTGTGCTATATAAATAATATTAACATTTGTCTTTATGTCTGTAGAAGATTTATTCTGCAAAACTGTGAAGTCAGTCATTATGAGAAAAGATAGCACTAGCAAAACCTGATGCATCTCAAAATGCAACAAACATTAAGCTTACCATACGGGCATGTGGATTTCTATGGTAATAAAGGTCTTTGTATTCATCCATCCACACTTCTGCAGCACGAACACTGTTTGCCAAAGCCTTTGCCCGTGAATAGGGAGCTTGCTTTGGGAAAACGTGGCCTACGTGGGAACAAGGATGGATCTCAAGGCTTCCTCCACACTGCCAGATCTAAATAAATTATTAAAAACATTTACATATTTGCTATCTAAGTTCCTGTCCTACTGTAACTTGAATCACTGAATCCCAATACCATGCTTAGGAAGGTATAGATAGGAACTCTCAGTCGGGGGGGGGGAGGCAACAGTGGGAGGGCTTCTCGTGTCCTGGCCCCACTGGTGGACCTCCTGATGGCACCTGGTATTTTTGGCCACTGTATGACACAGAGAGTTGGACTGGATGGGCCATTGGCCTGATCCAGCATTGGCTTCTCTTATGTTCTTAAGGGGGGCAAAGCCAGATGGTCCTACCACCCCCCCACCCCCAGTTTTGGCTGGCATTGCTTTGCACATACCCTTTTACAAATTCTTTACCTTAAGGAATGTGTGACAATCTAGTCTGTATGTCCAATATTTCTGGCGTTTTCTAAAAAACCATGTGTACATGGGCAAGTACACTGACAGTGAGATCTGATCATTTATTTATGTATTATTATCATGCAGGTTTGGTATTTGCATAGCCTCATATTTCTTTATTAGGAACTTGGAATGTGTCAAGTTTTAATGAGCTCCTCAGCACATTAAGTTTCTTTCAGGTACAGATGAACTGCTCTTCAGTTTTAAAGGAACGGACACATGAATGGACTCATTTACTGCCTTTACACAGAATATGCAACTAGGGGTGTGCAAAAAAATAAATAAAATTGGCCCGATTTGGATTTGGCCGAATCGGGCAGAATCAATTTTGGCAGACATAAAGACTCCTGTATGTCAATTTTGGCAGTACCAGCCAATTCAGGAGTCTTTCCGCCAGCCGAATGTCAGTTTCAGCCCCATTATATCCTATGGGCCATTGAAGTCAATGGCGAAAACATAGGGTATATTCTGGGGACTGGAGGGGAGGGGGTTTGAGGGAGAGGTTCCAAACCCGCAGGGTAGCTGCTGGAGCCTCTCCCCAAGATACCAACCAAGTTTCAAGAACATTGGACCAGGGGGTCCAATTCTACGGGCCCTCAAACAGGTTGCCCCTATCCCCTCCATTGTTCTCTATGGTAGGAAAAAAGTTACTTTTTCCTTTGGCCCTACACAATGAATGACATCACTTACCCGGAACGAAAATTCAAGGTTTTCTCCTCCCCAGACTTCCATTCCTGTGTCATAAGAGCCCAGGTAGCTAAAGTAATTCTTATTGACAGCAAACAGTCCGCCAGCCATAGTTGGAGACCTATCGTACAGAAAGAAGTGGCCATGTTATCTGAACACATCGTTTCCCCTGTGGCTTCATACTTTTGTGCTATAACACCGAGAATACATTTGATTTCTTATGTCCATGTCCCAGGCCAGAGCAACTTAGTAATTGTTCATAGCCAGCCTATATTTACGGGGGAACAGAAGATTAACATCCTACAGGCAAGACAAGTACATGTCAAAAATGGTTTTGATCTACTATGCTTCCACACATACAGTGGGTGAAGTCATGGATCTTTTCAGCTCTCTGATTATTACATGGCGAATAAATCAACATCTTTATAGTTAATTCTGAACAAAGGCCCCATGGTGCAGATTTTTAAAATGTACAGATACAGGGGATTTTTTTTACCCAGGTGTATAGAAAAACCCCAAAACTTTAAGACGGTTAAACCCCTTAAGGAAGAGTGCTGGTTGATATTAGGCAAAATCATAGCACTGTGGGCTGCTTAGCAGGGGAGAGAGAAAAATGGAGAAACGGCTGGGAAGAAGAGAAAATGGGGGCCATCGCATGGGGTGGGCTTTCCCTCCACCGTGAGTCTTGCAGGTTCCCAGGTTATTGTATAATACTGTATAAGGGGGCTGAAGTGTATCTTCAAAAGAGAGTTGCATTTTACTTGTATAGAATCAGAAGATCAAAGAGCTGGAAGGGACCTCCAGGGCCATCTAGTCCAGCCCCCTGCTGCACAATGCAGGAAATTCACAACTACCTCCATCCTCAGTGACCCCTGCTCCATGACCAGAAGATCAAACAAGCAAGGAGAAGGTTGCCGATAACAGAACCGACCAAAAAGACAAAAGCAACCTTGAAGAATATAAACAAAATCTTTTTTTTTTGCAAAAACATTTACAGTGATATAAGATAAAGTGTAAATAAAGTACAAAGTGTGTAATTACATTAAAAGACAAACAATTACAAGTGGGACATAAACCCTGCTGCATACAATCTTAAACCTAGATGCTTTTTGCCACTCCCAAGACAACTCTCCCCCATCCTATTACTATGCATCTGATTTTTCTTCCATAAATGCAGAACTTTACATTTATCCCCACTGAAATTCATTTTATTTGTTACAACCCAGATTTCCAGCCTGTCAAGATCATCCTGTAACCTGACTCTGTCTTCTACTGTACTTGCTGCCCTTCCCCATTTAGTAGCACTTGCAAATATGCAAATTTAATAAGCATTTCCTCTATTCATTTATAAAGATACTAGAAATAATGCCCGTTGCGGAAATAAATACAACGGGATCTAGAAAGAGGCTCTGGGAGAGTGCTCTGGCTTTGGGCAAACAGTGTCAGTTTCCTGTGGCGACCTCAGCAGGGTTTAATGACAGAGTCCACTGTTTTCTCCAGAGGGACTGATCTGTGCTACCTGAAGAGCATTTGTATGTTTGAGTTATCTGTAGCCCTCACCTGGAGAGTGGTAACCATTGTTACCCATTCTCCTCTCCCCTATGAGGTATGTTATGCAACTGAAAATTCCAACTGCCTTGCGGGGCGGGGGGAGTTTGAGGTGTGGAATGGACTGAAGTCCAATCAGCTTCCATATGCAAAAGACCAGGTTGTCGCAGCAGTTGTGGTGTGGGCGGGACCCGGGCTTTGCCTTCTGATTGGTGGTGATATATGCTGAGGAGCAGTGCCATCAGCCATACACTAAGGGAGTGCATTTTAGAATTAGAACTTTTGCACCCACTATTCAATTATATATAAGGAGAGATTGAACAAAAAGGTCCTAAGACAGATCCCTGAGGCACTCCACTTGTCACTACTCTCCAAGAGGATGAGGAACCATTCACAAGCAGTCTTTGGGTGCCATCTGTCAACCAGTTACAGATCCACCTCACAGTAATAGGAACCAAACCCTATTTTGCCAACTTGTCAACAAGAATATTACATGGAACCTTATCAAAAGCCTTACTGAAATCAATATTTCGCTTTTAAGAAACTCCCACCTCTCTTGAACTCCCTTCTCCTTAAGTATTCCTGACCATGGGATTCTACCTAGCGTAACTTCAAGTTTGTTAAAATTTGCTTTCCTGAAGTTCATCCTATATGTCTGACTATGTACAGCTTTTCCCCTCCCCAAGACTGTAAATTCCAAAATTACACGGTCACTACGACCCAGGGTGCCCACTACTTTCACCTCGCTAACCAGTTCTTCCCTGTTGGTGAGAATCAGGTCCAAGATAGCAGATCCCCTTGTTTCCCTCTCCACTTGCTGGAAAATTAAGTTGTCAGCCAGACAAGTCAGGAATTTAGTGGACCTTTCATTTTTAGTAGAGTTGGACTTCCAGCAGATATCCGGGGAATTGAAAACTCTTATGACCACCATGTCTCGTGTTTGAGAACTTTGTAATCTGTTCTAGGAGTGTCTCATCCAAATCCTCTGCCTGGCTTGGTCTGTAGCAGACCCACTGATTTTTTGGTAATGTACCCCGTTTAAGACACTATAGCAGACCCCCACCATAATATCACTATTATTTCTTACTCCTTTTATTTTCGCCCAGAGACCCTCAATTGAACTTCCACGCTCAGATTCATGTATTTCTTCACAAGTATATACCTCCTTTACATATAACGCTATACCTCCCCCCTTCCTTGTCTATCCCTTGCTTGTTAGTCACCCTGAGCCCATTTGTGGGGAGGGCGGGGTAGAAATTTAACTAAATAAAATAAAAAATAAAATAAATATCCTTTTTAAACAAGCCATAGCCCTCAGTCCTAATATTCCAGTTGTGAATGTCATCCCACCAAGTTTCAGTAATGCCTATTAGATCATAGTCCCCTTCTTGTATTAGGACTACAAGTTCCTCCTGCTTGTTTCCCATACTCTGCGCATTAGTGTAGAGACGTCAGAATCCATCGTTTATATGCTCTGAGGTTTTTGTTTCTGTACTCACCTGCGAGCTATGTTTCCTAGCATACATGCCACTCCCCGCTTGGACTCAAACTTTGTTCTGTTTTTACTGTAGTTTGTCTGTGTTCCCTTTTGTGGGACCCACTAGTTATGGCCTTTGGCCCTACACAATGAATGCTAACTACCAAGAAGTAACACAAAATGTCACTACTGAACCTGGCTGAACTATGTTGAGAGAGAAGCCAATCCTAAACAGGTCTACTCAGAAATCTACTCAGTGGGGCTTACTCCCAGAAAAGTGTTCTTAGGACTGCATTGTGAAGCAGAGAACAGGAAGTAGAATCAGGTTAAGCACAAACTATTCTGAGAGAGAGAGAGAGAGAGAGAGAGAGAGAGAGAGAGAGAGAGAGAGAGGTTTTCATAAGGGCACAATACAGAATTCAGAAACTCTGATAACACTGTTTAAGTTGAAAGAAAGAGACGTCACAAAAGCTTAGAGCAGGGGTGTCAAACACGCAGCTTGAGGAGCCAGAGGGCTTCTATCAAGCCCACACGAGACTGGCTGTCTCCTGCTTCTTCCTCCAGTGCTGCTGCTGCTGCTGCGTCATAGCTTGCTTTCCCAGACTCTCTCAATCGCTCAGGAGAGATAGATAGGCAAGCTTCTGCTCCCTGCACTGGGCTGAGGCTCCTCTCCCTCCCAGATTGCTACGGCACAGACATTTTGATGCCATAATTCACAGCAAGAAGTGTCAGTTATCAGAGACTGTTAAATAAACAAAATATTGCAAGAATGCTATTGTTTCAGGCATGTTTTTAAGTAAAAAAATCTTTGTGTTTGTGTCCTTTATTATATCTCCGCTACCTGGCATTACATTTTATGATGCACATGGCCTGGTCCAACAAAGTCCAATTTATGTCAAATCCGGCCCTCCATAACAAATGAGTTCGACACCCTTGGCTTAGAGTATAAAAATGCATAGGAAACAGCAAACAACATTCTTCCATCTTTTTCCATCATAGAGAAAAATAATCTGTAAACAGGAAACCTGTTACTACTTCTGCAAAAATGCTTGATTTCTCTGACAGAAATAAGGCTATCAGGGAGGCTGAAACCCTAAACAAAAGATTAACTACTGTAGAGTAGCAACAGCCTTCTCTTCCCAGAAGGCTGCCTTCTTTAAAAAAAAAAAAAAAAAAAGCATTTACAATTCCCAATAGAGTCCTGAATTCCTCATAGTATCTTGTTTTGTACAGGAATAGCATCACTGAAACCTCTTTCCACAAAGATAGATTCAGCTGAGTAGCTATGTTGGTTTGAAGCAATAGAACAAAGTTCGTGTCCAGTGGCACTTTTAAGACCAACAAACTTCAATTCTGAAGAAGTGTGCCTGCACATGAAAGCTTATACCCAGAATTGAACTTTGTTGGTCTTAAAAGTGCCACTGGACTCAAACTTTGTTATGCTCCTTCCGCAAACTGAGATATAAATGAATGAATATTGTTAATTGTTATGGAAGTACTTTCTTGTATAACCACTTAGAAATAGCACATTGTTAAAAGCTCAGCTTTCACTGTGAGACAGAAGAGAGCTGAAATTCTCTTAAAAATAATATTGGCATTTACAGGAAAGTTGTTGAGTTCCTACCTATGAATGATTTGTTTAGCCCTATTATAGTGAAAAATATGTTTCACCCAAACAATACATCGAGTGCAGGTTTACATTCAGGTGCCGTCTGAACGTAGCCCTATTATAGTGGCAATTTGGAGATAACATTTTTTTAATTCAATGATGATAACTATTTAAACAAGCACATTCCAGACATGCACATCTCATTTGTAACCAAAATGCCATTGGATGTGGCCTTATGAACAGAATGCCGGTTATTCTTTCCATGCCATATTAAGCTGTTTTAACTCTGGTCACCTCCACAACCACCACTTTTTCAGGTGCTTAGAAGTAAACACAGGAACGTATCCATTAACATGAAATGAGGTCATTTTTAAAAGCAGAACTTGTATTATCACTTGTATTAATAGCATAGCAATTTACAGACATTTATATATGTTAGATGTAACATCCAGGGTCAGTGTTGAGTGGAAGCTTTCAATTATAAACCCTTCCAGCAAGTTTATCAGATTGAAAAATATTTCAAAGAAATGTCAAAGCCCAACCTGATGACATCCGTCTTGGACCTTCTCTGTTTTTGCTCTCTTTCTGGGATGTCGTGCCAAGTGAAGACCAGCCTCCAGTCAAAGCCACCAATCTGCGGCTCCCCGGCATTTCCCAAGTACTCAAATGTGTTCCAGTCGATCACATCGATCACAGGGCAGACAACTGCTGATGGTTCTTCTTTAATTCTAAGTAATTTATAAAAAAAAATGTGATGCTCCTAATGTTGGTAGATGCTAGAAATGTCAAACAGCATGACAGAGGAAAACAAGAACACTTACGTTTGAATAGACTAAGCAGCTTATTGTTCTCTGTTTTACTATGGAATTTTTTATACTTTAAAAAATCCTTTACCTCTAGTCCAGTTTCTCTCAAACTTTTGGGACTCTGTGTCTCTCTCTCTCACTAAGTTTAACCGCCCCCCGGCCAAGCACAGGTGACCACGTGGAGATTCCGAAGACAGCTCAGCGCATGCAGCCCACTGCTGGCACAAGGATTTGTGAAGCATGTCCATGTGTGGAAAGATATGAAAGAACACTTCTATTTGTTTTATTTATTTAAAGCTTTAATGCTGCCTTTCCGCCCAAACATGGTTCTCAAGCCAGCAAATATAAAAACATTAAAACAATCTTTTTCCTCAATGGAGACCCAAAGCAATTTGCATTTTTGTCCTCTCAACAATCCTAACAGGCCTGAGGAAATGCAACGATGCAGTTGCTGCTGGGAATGCGCCATGTGTCAGTGGTGCTATAGATGCTCTGGATGCGACAAGTCCCAGGTTAACACTCCTGGCCTCTCCCGTTAAGGATCTCAGGCAGCCGGGGGACCCTGGAGAGCCAGACAGAGCAAAAGACAAAAATCCTCCCCGGTGCAAGGCTGTTTCCTGCCTGTCCCACAAGCCGACTGAACTCAGCAGTCATCAATGAACCATCAGCTAACTTAGCCAAAGGGCAGGAGAAGCACAAGCACAGATATCGAGAACTGCGCTTTGAAGACGCACAAACATTCACTGCGCAATCACTTCTCCAAAACAAGGTTTGAGTCCAGTGGGGGCACCTTTAAGGCCAACCAAGTTTTATTCAAGGTATAAGCTTCTGTGTGCAAGCACACTTCTTCAGATAACAGACTTCTTCAAGTTCATCTACCTCAAAACAGCTGGAGAGTCACCTTATTATTTCAATTCCATTTGTAACAGGCAATGTGAAAGGAAGAAAACAATCCATGGATATTTGAGAGGAAAATAATAATAATAATAATTTAAAAAAAACACGCTCTGATTACCACCTCCCCAGACCAAACACAAAATCAAGCTGAATCAAAAGGAATGAGCCTTATTTACTGACTTTTTTAAAAAAAAGCAAAGCCACTAAATGAAAGCTCAGTAATCTTCTAAAAGTTGAAATGTGCGAACGATAGGAAGGAGAAATATTTTCCTGCTACCAAGTTCTTCTTTTTACTTCTTACATTTCTGTAAGCATCTTTACAGTGACAGAAACTTAGCCCCCAAAGACAAAGGGAAGCAGCTAGAGGCAAAGCTGAACTTCAGCAGAACATCCAACACCCCGGTCTTAATGGTCCAAAGGAAAAGGAGCCCCAGTTTACTTGCTCCCCAGTCCAAAAAGCTTCCAGAGTCCAGCGGGCAAACCTTCCTAACTGGGTCTGTCAGTGAAATGGCCCCACTCCGCACAGACAAGGAAGCACCAAGTTCCTGTGCCCCAAACTCTCTGCCAGACAGCCAAAGACAAGGAAAGGGGTGGGGAAAAGAGAAAAGATGAAATCAAAAAGAGGAGGAAACGAAGAAGAAGTAGAAATGAAATCTGAGAAGGAAGAGCAAGAGAATGCACACAGCAGGGGTTACACATACATACAGTTTCTGAAGGCCGGAGCCCGCAGCAACTCTCACCGAAAGAAGCATTCTCTTACTGACCACCAGGGCCACAGGGGTGAGAAAGAGGGACAAAATTCTAGGGCCCCATATGGATCATGTTCTATGAACACCCAGGTTCCTATCCCTTTCCACTGAAGAGAGATGTCTGTTCCTTTCTATCTCCACAAGAGATGGAGTCAGAGATAAACCTTTTAAATGAAAGATGGGGATTCAGAGAACCTGGTACCCATCTCTGGTATATGACATTTTATCAATATAATGCTATTCTAGCGCCATTTTTTTTTTAATTAAAGGCCATAGAGGAGGGGGTGGGAAATGGGAAATGACCACTGTGATAACAATCTCAGGGAAAATCCCAGGAGACTCGACTCACATCCCTCCTCCTCCACAGAGGATACAACCAAGTTTTTACATCTCCCCAATTTTCTTTCCCCATTATGAGACCAAGTAATGTGTGAATCAGCTCCAAAAATATAGGCACAGAAGACAAGGAAAACAGTCTCACCCAGCCCAAATCTTACCCTATGCTGCCATCTTCTGGACTAACTACACAATGGAAAATGACAAGCATGTCCCATGTTTTCTCACACTAGGTTCTGCAGATCTCCAACTGGCAAAACAGCTCTCTGCAGCAAGCGTCATAAACCAATAATTAAGTGGACAGTTCAGTTAAAGTACAAATAATTCAATATGACTTAATGGCTTAACAATAGAAACCTACTTTTCCTGGTAGACATTATATACTTGGAGTTTCAAAAGGCTTTTGTACGGGCTGTGTGACTCCATCTTTGTAACATGCTCGTGCTTAGTTGCCCTGAGTCGTCTGAAAGAATGGTGTTTGGACACTCTCAAGAGAACTTTCCTCTCACTCATGCTTGTTAGTAGCCCTCATCTTCAAAGCCTGGGTTGTTTCTTCTCACCACTGGACACCAGGAGCAAGATGGCCTGGCTCCTCCAAGGGTTTTGGATAGCTTAATTATTATTTGACTGGTAGCCAGCATTTAGGATATAAGATGTCTAGTTTTAGTTATGCATGTGGTCTCGGATTCTGGCAAGCTTTGCTTTGTGCGTACAAGCTCAGGGGAGCTTACCCAGTGATTTCTGTAAATATGATGCTTTATTAAAAATCTCCTTGTAAACCAACCTGGATCTTATGTGTCATTTCCTTGGGATTTCTTCGAATCTGTAACAGCTTTTGGCAAGGCACCTCACCAAAGACTTCTGAGTAAACTTAGCAGTCATGGATAAGAGGATGGGTTCTCTAATGGATTAAAAACTGGCTAAATGACAGATCCAGGTGGGCAGCCATGTTGGTCTGCAGCAGTAGAACAAGATTTGAGTCCAGTGGTAACTTTAAGTTGTATGCTAATTGGCTGTTCACCTATGTAGAGGCATCTGCCTATATATATGAACTGTTAACTTCTATTTCAATGTATTTGAGGAAGTGTGCAAGCACATGAAAGTCCATACCTTGAATAAATCTTTGTTTGTCTTAAAGGTGCCTGATTGGACTCAAAAACTGGTTAAATGACAGGAAGTGAAGAGTAGGAATAAATAGACAGTTCTCACAATGGAGGGAAGTAAACAGTGGGGTCCTACAAGGACTGGTATTGAGGCCAGGACTACTTAATTTATTCATAAAAGATCTGGAACTAGGGGTGAGTCGTGTAGTGGCCAAGTTTGCAGATGACACAAAATCAGTTAGGATAGTGAAAACCAAGGCTGCCTGTGAAGAGCTCCAAGAGGACCTCCACGAACTGGGTGAGCGGGTGACAATGTGGCAGATGAAGTTCAGTGTTGGCAAGTGTAAAGCACTTCCAGTCCCAAAGCACATTGGGACACACAAAAAAATCCAGTCTTCAAGTATAGGCTAATGGGGTCTGAACTTGCTGAGACTTGCTGGCCCCACTGGTGGACCTCCTGATGGCACCTGGTATTTTTGGCCACTGTGTGACAAAGTGTTGGACTGGGCCATTGGCCTGATCCAACATTGGCTTCTCTTATGTTCTTATGAGACTGAGAGGGGAAAAAATATTGAGGTCATAGTGGATAGCTCTGTGAAAGCATCAACCCAGTGTGCTGCAGTGGTGAAAAAGGCAAACCTTAAATTAGGGATTATTAGGAAAGGAACTGAGAATAAAACAGTCAATATTGTAAGGTCCCTGTATAGATCTATGGTGCGACATCATTTGGAATACTGTGTACAGTTCTGGTCACTGTATCTCAAAAAGGACACTGCAGAGCTGGAAAAAGTAAAGTTGCAGTGACAAGGACTCTGTAGGATAAACTGGCTCATTCAGATTTCATGTAAAACCATAATTAGGATGACTGTCTGAACCTGGCCACTCACTGTTGTTGTGTTGGTTTGTCAGGGAATATAAAACCAAAATCTGAAACCATGTTTGAAGTTGGTTTATCTGAAGAAGCGTGCGTGCACAGGGAAGCCTATACCCAGAAGTAAACTTTGTTGGTCTTAAAGGTGCCACTGGATTCATACTTTGTTTTGTTAACCACAGTTAGTCTTAAATACGGTTCTGCATTCTGTACAAACATGGACATCGTAGCTTACTCCTGGCTAGGGACATATGAACACCTGCCAGTTTGGCTCATGCTCTGTTCACTGATCACAAGCAGGGACGATTTTTCGAGGACTGGTTCAGTAAGTCATCAATCTGTTTGCCGGTATTCAACATGTTGCTTCACTGTATTTATTCCTAGCCATGCATTGCGACTGAGGGGTGACATGATTGAGGTTTATAAGATTATGCATGGGAAAGAGCAGGTAGAGAAAGAGGTACTTTTCTCCCTTTCTCACAATACAAGAACTCGTGGGCACTCCATGAAACTGCAGAGCGGTCGGGTTAGAACGGATAAAAGGAAGTACTTCTTCACCCAAAGAGTGATTAACACATGGAATTCACTGCCACAGGAAGTGGTGGCGGCTACAAGCATGGACGGCTTCAAAAGGGAATTAGATAAGCACAAGTGGGGGACCTGCGATACTCGCGGGAGAGGAGGACCTCCGCACCTATGAGGAAGAGGAGGAAGCAGGAGGAGGAGGTAAGTTCCCCCCCATCCCACCGGTTCCCCGTCTCCTCCACCCCCTGGCTTGATCTTCCCCTCCCCCTGCCCTGGAGCACCCCCCCCTCCGGAGGCCAGGTCTACCCACCCCTTCCCATTGCAGGGGTGACACAGAGTGTTGGACTGGATGGGCCTTTGGCCTGATCCAACATTGGCATCTCTTATGTTCTTATGACTTTTTGGTTTAGAAAAGAGACGACTAAGGGGGGACATGATAGA